TTATAATTATTTTCACTAATACATTCTTAATTATCTACTAATTACACCCCTCCTAAAATACCGTGTCTACATTGTAGCAAACACGGTATCTGAGACGGAGGGAGTAGTATTTTATTAGTTAATAAAAGTGCGTAAGAAGTTTTGACAATTTTTTTCATTTGACTTTATGTATAAAGTAATTTTACGTTTAATAGTATGTTTGTAATTTAAGTAAAATGTAATAATATTTAAGTATTAGTATATCATTAGTTTTATTATAATAAAAAAATTGATAGTTTTGAGTGAGACAAATAAAAATGGTAAAAAAAATATTTTTGAGTAAAAAAAAAAAAAAGAAGAAGAAGGATAACACTGTTTTAAGAATTATATAAAATTAAAACAAGTGAACAAACTTTTAATATGATATTTATCTTTATATCATACAATACTAATTGGATTAATTTATTCTTTTTACCTTTATGTCTACTTTACTCTAATATAATACTAATATTTCTAAAACTCCGTGCAAAAAACAAATAGATATGGGACAGAGGGAGTATTTCTTTTGTCTCGTTTAACGAATATATTTTTTATTTTTGTTCGTCCTGCGGTAACGGTTTTTTTTAGTAATATAACATCACTATTTTATATAAATAAATTTACTTTATCATCACATTATTATTTTTTTACCAAGTAAGAGCAAAATTATCTTTATACTTTAACTACATTCACTTTAAAGCGGGACACAAAAAATATTATTTTTTTCTATTAAGAATCATATAAATAAAATAATGATAATTTTTATTTTGTGTCCCAAATTTACTCATTTTTTTTGATCCATCTATTAAATTTTGCTCTTTTAAGTAATTTTGGTAAAATCAAATTTTAAATAATTAATTATTACTCTATATTCAATATTTATTTAATATAATTGTCATATGAGTTTCTTCGTTCAATTTTTTTCGATACAATTTTTAATATATATTTTATTTTTTCAAAATCGTCTATATTCGATATAAAATATTACTTTTTATATTATCAATATATTTTCATGTAGATCACATCAAAAAAAAAAAAAAAATCTTTAAATCAAATACTAAATTAAATTTTAAAAATATCTTTAATTATTTTTTATATTTTATATTTTTTAATAAAATAATATTTTTTTTCTTATTTTTTGTGTTGAACCCAAAATGAATTATTTTTATGGAATGAAAGAACTATATAAAACCAAAACCAAACAAACCTATAGTGATGAGCTCCACTTGTGGGGTTTGTGGGATATGTTTGTCGAGTTTGATTTTTAAAATTAAAATAAAATTTATAAATTAAAATAATTGTTTAATAGTATAATCTTAATGTAATTCATATAATACAAAAAAATATAAAAAAATTATTTAATAATTTCTTAGAGGCAATTATTCTAAAACAGTAAAAATTTCTACAAACAGGATAAAAAAAAAAAAAAAGAAAAGTTACATATAAGGGGTATTTGATAATTTCGATTAGTTAGATTTAGTTAAACATACTTAGTTACTTGTGCTAAAATATTTAACTAAATAATTATTTAATGTTAGTTATTTATACATAAAATAACAACTTATATTTTAGTTTTAAAATATTTAGGGCGTGTTTGGCAATTAGCTGATAGCTGTTAGCTGATTCAATTAGCTGGTGTGACTAGTTGATTCGATTAGCTGTTTGTATTAAAATGTTTGGTAAAACAACTGTTTGATATTAGTTGTTTATACGTAAAATGATAATTGAGGACATTTCTATTTTATTTTTGTTTTTAATATATTCAATTATGTTCTTTTGAGTTTAGAATGTTTGAAGTTTTTTGTTTTTAGTTATTGAAAATTGTAAAAGTGTTATAAAAGTATTTATTTTTATTATGGTAATTAGATTTAAAAAATAATATATTTTTATTGAAATATATAAATAATTTTTTTCTATTGAAAATGATGTAAAATATAAAATAATAAATTTTTTGTATATATATTTATTATATTAGTTATCAATTAGTTCATTATATTTATAGTTTTCAATAAATTTAATTTATTTTTAATATAAAATTTATATAATGTAATTTTAATATGAAAATAAATTATTAATATTTATATTTTATATTTTATGTTGATTTTAATAAATTTATATATTTTATAATTAAAATAATTTTTATATAAAAATTAATTATTTTAAATTTTTAAAAGTAAAAAAATAATATAATAAAATATTATAATATAATTAATAAATAATCAAAATATATTTATTTGTATAAAGTGCATAATAAATTTTTTAAGGATATATAAGGAATAAAATTTTTTTTATAGAAAAAACTATTTTAAAATGCTGAGTAAATTAGCTTTTTGGATCCAAAAAACTATTTCAAAAAGCTAATTTACCAAACACCTAAATTAACTTTTTGATCGGTTAAACCGGTAAAAGCTATTCAATAAGCTAAAAGCTCTTCAAAAAGCTATTTGTCAAACGCCCTCTTAATTATATTATTTCGATGTACTCCCTTCGTTCACCGCCAATTTATCTATTTTTTTATTTTAGTCTGTTCATCGCAAATGTATCAATTTCCTTTTTTAATAAATGTATCTTCCACTAAAATATAAAATTATCTCACCCTTTATATAATATTACACAAATGCCATCAAATAACACCAATTAATACCGTAAATGTTAAGGGGTATAATAATCTTTATGTATATCAATTGTACCACATATCAATATAATACTAATATACTAAAATCTATGTACAAAAAATAAACGGATAGATAGACGGTGGACGGAGGGAGTATATTATTTTAAAAAAATTTTATTGTTAATTATTAAAAATTATTAGCATATTTGTCTTTTTTTAAAAAAAAGAAATTATTAAAAATAATTAATACTATATTTTTATTAAATAATAATTATTTTTATTAGAAACAATATAAAAAAATAATTTTCTTATTAAGTTATTTTTAAATGAATTTTTTATTAAATTTAAAATTTTAAATAAAGTTATTATATTATATTCATATCTAATACAAAAATTTATATGATAAAAAATTTATGAATAAGTTATTAATATTAATATTTTTTACTTTTATTTTTATTTTAACAAATTAAAAAAATTTATGAACAAAATAATTTACATATAAAAAATAATAATAAATTATTTTAAATATATAAAAGTAAATCTAAAAATAATTAGATTAAAATAATTAATAAATATTGCAGTAAAAAAAAATTAAAAAAATAAAAATATTTGTTAATTGATAAAAAAAAATATAAATAAATGAGTTTTAGTGATCTACTTGTATTATAAATTAAAATTTTAATTAAATTAATCTATATTCATTAAATATGTTTATGACTAGTGTTTTTATTTAAAATAAAAATGTAATTTTTTTGTAAGATGGACAAAAAAAAAAAGAAATCATTTGTGGCGGGACAAAGATAGTATTACATTAATATGTATACATTATATTATCTTTATTTTCGAGGGTTACATTTACTTTTTTGTATTATTGTATTTATTATTAAAAATATTATTAAATTTGTATAATTTTTTATACCAATGTTATTATATTAGTATTAGAAGATACTGATATATTTTTTTTGTCATTTTCTTATAATTTGTAATCTATTTTAATATAATAATTAATATTTAAATATCAATATGTAAAAAATAAATATGATCCTTCAAGCCGGATGGAGAGAAATATTTTTATAGTTGTTAAGCACAAAAAATAATAATAATAGTAAGTGGCAGTAGGATTCTGGGTAGGGTCTGAATGAAAGCCAAAAGGTCTGGAGGTCGGGCAGAATAAAGGTCGGGAAAAGGAAGAAAGGTCGGGCGGAGTCTAAAAAAAAGGTGTACCCAAGTCGGGTAAACCGTAGATCGGATGGAAGGCGAAGTCGGGCAGACGCGGAGGTCTGTCAAGAGGAAGGTCGGGCAGACGCGGAGGTCTGTCAAGAGGAAGGTCGGGCAAGGAAGAGGTACGGACAGACGCGGAGGTCTTCGGTCAAAGACGGATGGCGGCTGATGCGGAGGTCGGCCAAGTGTCAAAGACAGAGGGCGGCTGATGCGGAGGTCGGCCAAGTGAGGTCGGGCGAAGAAGCAGGTCGGGCGAAGGACGAAGTCGGGCAAAAGAAATTTGGCAGTGGACAGGCAGGTCGGGTAAGAGGTAGGTCTGAGTTCTGTGACTGGTGGGAACGGTTGAAGGAAGTTGTAATACGTGTCAATAGAGGAGAAATTGGTGGTCGGTTGACAGCGGTTGCTGTAACCGACCAGACGGCGGTTCAAACCGTTTTCTTCAAAGGTTATTTAAGGATTCAGATTTATTCTGAAAAGGCATCTTCAATCAACTTCAACAAAGCAAAGTCAGATTTGGGGATCACCACTTTAAATTTCAGTCTTTTATTTTCCAGTTTATTTTCTGTACCATACAGTGTTTAGAGATTCCTAATCTCAGGCACTAATTAATCAAGTTTAAGGATATTTTCTATATCTTTGAATTTTACTTTATTTTTGTTGAAAAATTACATCTACAATAGTATTCATGTGAATTTCTCATAATTTATATACATTTTAATATAATAATTAATATTTTAATATCGTATAAAATAAATATAATCTTTAAAGTCGAATTTGAGAAAGAATTTTTATAATATTTATGTGAACTATTTCAAAAAACTAAATATATGTAAATTAGTTTTTTTTACTTGTGTTTATTTTGTAAAATTGTTGAAAATAATTTTTTTTATATAAAATATAAAAAGTTATGGTGATAAAAAAATATAAAAATAATAAATATATGTAATGTATTACGTACGAGAAAAAATAAATAAATTATAAAAGAACAAAGTCACAAGCTTTTCAAAAAAAAATTAAATTTTTTTGGAAAGTTACTTTAAAGATAAAACAAAATAAATAATAATAATAATAATAATAATAAAAGATGAGTAAAAAATGCCTAAAATGGTGGCTTGCTGCTCGTACACGGTCAGAAAGCTCAAATCTTGGCGATGGAAGTCAAAACCCTAGAAACCTAATTTGGCCTCATGAGAGAGAAAATACAGAGAGAGATAGAGCTATTAATTTACAATATTCCCGAAACCGATTTGTCAGATTAACAAATTAGTTTCTCCAATTCGTTGAGAGAGAGAGAGAGAGAGAGGGGAAAAGGGAAAAACAATTCGATCCCATCCCATCCCATCCCATGCTCGCGAGATCGATTTTTGTTCGTTTCCGCGCTGGATCGCCAAGCCCTCTGCAATAATCATATAATCTGAGATCTGATTCTGACACCAATCCGGACGAGGGATCCTTCTCCTCCAGTCCAGTCCAGTCCCGCCCAGAAAATTCCAAGTTTTCTCATACTTATCTTAATTTTATCTATCTCGATCTCCCTGATCCAGGAGCAATCTCTGCCACAATCATCAATTCCTATATGATTATGCTCTTTTACAGCTAAGGCTGTTTCGTGTCCGATTCGATTCTCGAATACAAGCCATGGGAGCTCCTCCACGTATGCTCAATTCAGGTTCAAGGTACGCAGAGGTAGAGAGAGAAACAGAAATTGAAATTCAGAGACAAATAGAAATAGAAATCGAAATTGAGAGAGAAACAGAGAAAGGTTGTGTTTCGATTCCGTTCCATATTCTCTGAACTCAGCTGAATTTAGCCTCGCCATTGTTTTGTTGTCTAGGAGGGTTAAAAAAAAACTGTGCCCATACCATACCCCTCTGGTTCTTTATTGCTTTGTTTGTTGCTGTTGTTTCTTTTCTTTTGTTTTCTTGCACATTAATGGTGTCTAGGTCTTGTAGTGCTGTTGGGTATATAGCTCTCAGAATTGGGGTTGTGGGTTTAGAACATAAACAGAAGCTGGATTTGAGGTTGGGATTGATGAAAATCATGTTTGCTGGTTCATTTGGATAATTCGAAACCTCTTTGTGAAATTGTGATCGATTGTTTGTCTGTCTTTTTGAGTTTATATCCACACACACACACACACACACATATGTATGTATATATGTATGTATGTATGTATGTATGTGAGTTGTGTCGAAAACACTTATAGGTGTTGTTGGGGGGAAGTTTGATAAGGTCTAATAGCTACTACTGATTGTGTGTGTTGGGTTAATCGAAAAAAATTATATATATGAAAATGGTGAAGCCTTGTTGGAGGCCGTTGGTTGAGTGTGACGGGGCGTGGAGGAGAGACGGGTATAGGCGTGGGGATGATTATCCGAATGGTCGGGTGGACGGGTTGTTGTGGTACAAGGATCTTGGATATCATGTGAGTGGGGAGTTTTCGATGGCGGTGATTCAAGCGAATGGTTTGTTGGAGGATCAAGCTCAGCTTGAGTCGGGGCCATTGAGTTTGCTTGATTCGGGGCCGTGTGGTACTTTTGTTGGAGTTTATGACGGGCATGGAGGACCGGAGACTTCTCGGTTTGTTAATAGAAGCTTGTTCGCCAATCTCAAGAGTATGTTTCTTCTCCTCTTTTGCTTTGCTAGTTCTTCGATTTTGTGTTGTTGTGCTCAAAGTTTGAATTACAATGGATTTGTTACAAATTTCCATGAGTAATGTTGTGTTTAGATATGTTTTGAAAGTGTTTTTGAGGTTTGAATAGTTTTGGAGATTGTAAAAAGTAAATATGTAACGGGTAATTTGATCGGATATTTTGTATAAAAAATATGTTTCTTGAAATCAATATTTGATGTGATGTTTTGGAAGTCTTATGAAGACTTTTAGGAATAGTAATGAGTTAAATATGTTTGGTATAAAAAAATACTTTCTCCTATTTTAAAAGTATTTGTTTACTTTTGTCACGAAATTTAAAAAATAATAATATTTTAATTGTATTGAGCAGTTAAAAATAGTGTAAAGACAATTTTATCTTTATTTTTTTTTTGGTGTAAAAGTAATGATGCAATAAGAAAATAGGATATCTGTAGAAAAAAAAAAGGGTGATATTTTTAAAATAGTTATTTTATAATTGGACAATTTTCAAAATAAAAATATGTATACTTTGTGCGTAGGGAGCATCTCTTTGAAATAGGTATGTCGATTGGTAGTGCTAAAAGTGATTTGAAAACATGATGCTGAATAATTGATATAATGTGTCATATACGGAATGGTATAGCGCTAAAACTACAAATGATTTTATAACCTATTCGTATATGAACTAACTATCGAGCAATTTGGATCGCTTCGACATAATTTATAGAGCCGTGATAATAGAAAATCCCTCGGAAACATTTTTCATAATCTTCCGTTGCTTTAAGAAATGCTATTTCGATATCCTTGTTGTTGTTGTTGTCTTGACATAAAATCTCGGTGCAGAATTCGCCACGGAGAATCAAGAAATGTCCGAAAACGTTATTAAGAAGGCCTTTCTCGCAACCGAGGAAGAGTTTCTTTCGCTAGTGAGAGAACAATGGTCGGTGAAGCCGCAAATTGCTTCGGTCGGCACGTGTTGTTTGGTAGGCGTGATTTGCGACCGTCTCCTATACGTAGCCAATGCGGGAGACTCGCGGGCCGTGCTAGGGAGGGCGGATAAGGCTAGAGGAGTGACAGCCGTTCAACTATCGACGGAGCACAACGCGAATCTCGAATCGGTTAGAGACGAACTACACGCCCTCCATCCCGACGATTCACAAATCGTCGTTTTGAAGCATAAAGTTTGGCGCGTGAAGGGTATCATACAGGTGCTCGTTCGGGACTTTTTGTCTTAACTTTTTACGAGTTTCGGTCTCGTCGACGAGGCTTATTTCGTTGTCTGTCGTCGCGGCAGGTTTCGAGATCCATCGGAGATGCGTACTTAAAGAGCTCGGAATTCAATCGGGAACCGCTTTTGGCGAAATTCAGGCTCCCGAAGCCCTTTAGTAAACCGATTCTGAGCCCCGAGCCATCGATCGTCGTGCACAAGCTCAGCCCGAGGGATCAGTTTGTAATATTCGCATCCGACGGCTTGTGGGAGCATCTCGGGAATCAGGAGGCGGTCGATATCGTTAATAGCAATCCTCGTAATGTAAGAACGCTATCGATTTTATGCGATCGTTTGCTCGATGATGATTTTTTTGGGAATTTCAGAAAAAGGTGTTGTGTTTTTTCTTACCGTTTGTTCGGGCAGGGCATTGCTAGTAGGCTTGTGAAGGCGGCGCTGCGGGTGGCGGCGAAGAAACGGGAAATGCGGTACACGGATTTGAAGAAAATCGAGCGGGGGGTGCGGAGGCATTTCCACGACGATATTACGGTGGTTGTGGTTTTTTTGGATCACGGGCGGGCGCCGTCTAATAGTACGACGACTTCGATAAGGGCCGCCGGAGGCGAATCGGTGAGTTCTGGTTATTCATGATGTAGCTTTGTATTTTGAGTAAACTCTTTTTGAATGTGGATCAAATCTATGAATGTGTTTACCATCATTTTTCTTTGGAATTGAATTGAATTGATACAAGGCATTATTAAGTTGCCTCTTTAAGTGTACTCACTCTTTTTAACTTTTGTGTGAATGTTGGCTTTTTTCATCTACTTTTTATGATGCGGGAAGTACTACTACTCTGGGAGGTATTCAAAGTTCGAACTCATGCTATTTGTGCGGAGAACGCATTATCATAATGTCATCTGAAATTGAAATTGCAACCAAATTTTATTATTTTATTTTATTTTATTTTTTAATTGTTTGTCTAAGTTAATAAATAAACTATGCGATTAATCATCCCTCGTCAGATGATTGTGCAAGAAGACGAAGGTAAGTTCTAGAAATAAATAAATAAACCAATGATAAATAAATAATGCTCTCTTTATTAAATTAGTCAAAATAATTATGTCCCATAAATAATAGTCTGTCATACATAGTTATGTGATTGGGACAAAAATCCAAATTTGGATTTGATATTGACATTATTTATTAATAATTTTTTAAAAATATTACAATTAAATTTATATTTATTTTTATATATAACATGACATTCGTCTAATAAAAAATTTAAAAGTCTAGATATGTTTCAAAATGCATGTGGAATTCTAATGCAAATCCACCACGTAACACTGCTTGTTCTAGAAATAATTATAAATTTACCCTCTGTCCACTAGACCAAACTCATTTTATCATTTTAATTTATTCGCAACAATATATTCGTACCAAATTTAATAATTAACAAAAAAAAATCTTAATCATATCAAACCCTTATTTTTTATATTATATTTAAAAATTAATTTTACAACAAAATCCACAATTTTGAAAAGAAAAACCCAAAATAAACATTAGATATAAGATTCTAAAGAATTGAACTGCAAAGAAAACAATGAATTATAACATATATATATATATATGGCAAAAAACAAAAAAAAAATCTAGACAAACTAGGAATTCCACAAACCTATTGCATCAGCATCACAAGTTTATAATGGTACCTACACAGTGTAATTATATTGCATCCATTCCATGTAAAAACACAATAATCATTACATATAGAAAAATTCTTAACCAAAACAATAGTTTTCGACATACAAGCATGTCGACACAATACCAAAGATGTCTGAAGCATATGCTGTCTTTAATACACAACCGATTTAAGTAAGTCCTAAATCCTGGCAGATTCACCTGGTGGTACTCTTAAGCAATTAGCAATCACCTCCAAAGCATCAATTCACTATCAATGGCCGAAAATCGAAAGCCGGACAGACTGAGATCAAACTACTAAGAAAATATCAAAACATACTAAGGTAACAATTACCCTTTGCCATTTAGTCCTACCTTAAAATAATAACTACGCAAGTCCAGATGCACATAGGAGAATTCCTTACCATCAGCAGGAAAACACAAGCCCCTTTTATCTGGCCAGAAATTCGATCACTTTTCAATTTTGATTAGAAATGTGCTTCCAAGAGACCGGATAAAAAAAAAAAAAAAAAAACACAAAAAAAAAATTAAGCTAACAATCCTTTCTAAATTACTAGGGTGGGTGCAATAAGTAATAAAATTAGTGCATGAGTTGAAAAGGAGCAGTCGTAAAAATGTAAAAACACTTCTACCATCAGTGATCGCCCTAGCCAAGAAGTTTTGTGCACGAATCCATGAGTTGAAGTTAAGCAAATGATGATAATCCTATACTAGAAAATTAAACTTAAATTTAAAACTACAGCTACAGAAAAGTCAGGCCAAATGGTAAGTTCACGCAAGCCTACATTATATATAGAAAACATGAATCGAAACGCTAAGCACACCATGCATTCAGTAACTTTTATACAGGTTATGGCCATTTAAAATGTATTAACACAAAGGAGATGCTTGTTAATTGCTGTAAAGCTCACCAGGAAACCCGCATCTAACCAAGTTCAAAAATGAAAAGTAAACTACAAATGTCGTTCACCGCGTCAAAAGTCTACATAAAAGGACGGACTTTCATGAAACCATGAAGGGGAAGGTGGTCAAAACTATAAGCAACCTCTCTTACCTGCCCTTCTGAAAAATCGAGAGAAGAAAAAATAATTAGGAATTGAACATAGAGGACTCTGTAAATAGATGTGCTATTGTGTTAGTCGATGAGTAAACGCGAAAAATAATATCCATATTTAGGGCTTACTGTTGATTAAATAGGAGCGAGATTATTTAGGTTCCTTCACCAGCCTTGCCTGCAATGCTTGTTTTCTGAAAAATGCGTACGATGGATCAAAACAAGAGTACATTGATCATCAGGGAAACAGGGCATAACATTATATAATTTGTAACTTACCACTTCAATATCCCCTTTTCCATTTGCCTTTGAGACAGAATCGATTTGTCCAAACCTGCACAATAGTATTGGCTGTGCTCAATGCTCATCAAATAATCAAATAAACGACTAAAAATTCCTGCAATAGTCTCTTTGAAATCATCATAAATGACACCACAATCAAGAAAATGCACGAATGATCAGATATTACATCTGGAATTCTCGACGGTATGAATACATCTAATATTTTAGTACCTGAGTGCCCTCGCTTTCTTCTTGGCTTCCTCTGCTGAATCAGTCACAGGTGAGGAACCAAATCTAGCAAGTCTAGCCTTCTTTTTGGCTTCCTCATCACTAGGTGCGGATTGCACAATCCCAAACCTAAGAAACAACTTCAAGTGGATCAAAATAGCCAACCAAAAGAGTAAATTAAATTTAATAGAATCGAAAAGAGAAGTAAACCTCTCAGCTCTAGCCTTCTTCTTCAGCTCCTCGGATTGCTTTGATGGATCAGACCCTTCAGTTGAACCAGTGCCAAACCTTCAGCGTAAGAACAGAATTAGAGAAATTCACCGATTCACCACATTCACTATGATAATTCATATGAAACATATATGAGATCAATAATTAAAAGAGAAAATCGAGATTTATTAGAGCTGTAGCCAGTGACGAAACAGTTCTAACGAAGGAAAATTACTTCTTCAAATATTCTGATTTACGAGTGAAAAAAATGTTTAAGATTAACACAAAAATATCTTTATTCAACAACAAAACTCCTCGATTACTGCTCAGTTTTCAACTTTACCATATTAAAAACAAGAAATCCCCAAATCCCCCAAACTGAAACCCTAATTTCATTCCGACAAGCAATTTACCTTTCCGCTCGAGAATTGCGCTTCTCCTCCTCCGACAAATGCACCGGCATCCCAAACCGCTCCGCACGCTTCATCTTCTTCTGAATATCCGTGGCCGCGGCACCACCATTGACATCCTTCTCACCTACAGCCGCGGCCGCAGGCTTTACCTTCGATTCCTCGCCGCCTCCGTCGGAAGATTGCGGCGGCAAATTCGACGAGTCATCTTCGGTGGCCGGGGGCACCGAATTGAGATCTGCAGGGTTCGTAGGGTTTTCAATTTTGGGAGCTGCAGCAGTCGTCATTAGGGTAAGGGACGCCTCGAGCGTAGAGAGAAATCAAGAAGTGTCTTGCGGAAAGATCCTTCAAATTTGACTGAAAAGGGTTACGGTAACAAGGCGGTTCTAATGTAAAGCGGTAGATATTTTTGCAGTGCAATGTAGTCGGGATTTTAAAAACCCGACTTATTGGAACTTAGCATATTAAAAACACGACTTTAAACGGCCCATTATAATTATACTTTGGGCATATGGATCTTATATAACCTGGCCCAATCCATATATTTAGGACATACAGAAATATTTAATATACAGAAATTTGAGGAGTTATTGAGGTGTGATTCTTTTGTAAGATTTCTGAAAATAAAATTTATTTATACATATATACATATAATTGCTTAGAAAATATAAAAATAATATTAATTTTTTGAAAAAAATATGTGAAAAAAAATTATAAGAAGAATAAAGTTTAAATATTTTTTTAACAAATATAAATCAATTTAATTAAATTTTTAATTTTTTTAAAATTCACTCCAAAATTTTTTATTTATATCTCTTCTTAGCATACAAATATTTATCTCTATATTTAAAATTCTCTATTTTTTATAAAATTAATTATAAATAAACAAATATTTTTATTTATTTATTTGTATTATATAAAATTTTATTATCTAAAAAAAATTATTTAGATACAATGTTAAAAATATTTAATTATCAACGATACTATTCATATATAAAATAATAAAATAATATCATAATTTATTATTATAACTTATTCATTTATACTATTTAAAATACAATATCTAACCAAATGAGTCATTTAACCGAGACAGAATATTAGGGTGTGTTTGTTTGGGGTTTGGATTTTGAGTTGGGATTTGAATAGTAAAATTTTTGAATTTGAATAGTTGTATGATGTGATATAAATATGTGTTGACGTGATGTATTTGGATGTAAAATTGATTTTTAGTATAATATAAAAAATAAAAAATAAGTGTTTGATTTGATATTTTTTGGGGAAAAAAATAGAATGAATAGTAGATTTAAAATCCAATTCCCCACACAAACACGCCCTTAATATAAAAGTGTTTGATTTGATATTTTTGAAAAAAAATTTTTTGGATGAATAATAAAATTTTGGTAAAATCCTTCAAACGAACAAACAAACCGTCAATGGATTTCGTTACAGCAAAATACAGTAAAAATCTCCCTGCACGACTAAGTTACAGTAAATAATGGATTTCTTATTAGCTCAGATAAAAATCATAATAAAGCATATATAAGGCAGTGAAAAAATATTAATTTGCAGTAGGCTGAAGATCTATAGCAAATTTGGATCTGCAACAAACACTGCAGAAATCAAAATTTACGAATTCCACTGTGACCAATTCAACAATGAAATCAAATAAGAATTAGAATTAAATTTAAAAGTAATCTTAAAGAGGCATAAATTGTGATTCTTACAATGCTGGAGATTCACACTTCCTCTTTGTCGATTTCTTCTTCGTCGTCGCTGCTGCTGTCTCCGTAACGGCCGTGTGGTTGTGCCTGCCCTCGTACGTTGTAATGAAACTCTCGGGATCTTCCGATGTCCTCTCGACGTACTTTCTCGCATTGCATTTGGCGCTCGTGCATCTGTAGTAACTCCTGCACGCCCAATCGAATCATATGACGGTCGCTTTTTTCTTACATGGCTCGACGGCTCTTACATACAATGTATTCGATACCATGTTATTCTGACAGTACATCAAATATTCACAAGCAATATATATATATATATATAACACAAATAGATTGATATCATATGATACATATTAATATAATACAAATATAATATATCAACGGACAAAATATAATAATAGCTTAGCACATTACAAATAGACATAAATAACATAATGTTTATATTACTCTCTCCATCATTCGACTGTATTCTAGTACTTTTGGGTATATATTCTAATATAAATGTATTTTTTGTTAATTTCTATATTTTATAGTAAAATAAAATGTAAAAAGAAAATAAAAATAGTATGATAAAATGATAATATCTTTAAGTCAACCTAAAAAAAAAAAAAAAGTAATATAATACAATGTAATAAATGAACTAATAACACATCATAATAGTCCATACAATATATATAATCTGATCTCATCATGTCATATGTTAAAACAACATAATATATAATACTCCCTCAGTTTGAGATAATTATGTCATTTTCTTTCTTTGTCCGCAAAACTTATGATATATAATTCATAATTTTTATTTTAATAAATAATAATTAAATTATCATTATTTTTTCTATTTATTCTAGACTATTTTATTTTTTTTAACTTTGTAATAATTTTTTTATAATATCCATTGTACTTTTCAATCATCTTAATATTACATTCAAATATTATTATTTTTTAGTCAACAATATATATAACTAGCCCTGACCGATTCAACTTGGGAAGAAATCACCAACCGCCTCCCCTTTACGCTTCGCCCACAAAGTGATATCTATATACACAGTATTATATATATATATGTACATGTGATATTTAAATATATACTTCCTCCATCCCAGATACGGTGTCCTGTTTACTGTATAGACGAAAATTTAGGTGATGTATAATTAGTAAATAATTAAGAATGGATCAGTGAATATAATTATTATTTAATAAAAATTTTATAAAATAATATTAAAATAACTAATTAGTATAATTAAAAATTATTTAAATATATACTTCCTCCATCCCAGATACGGTATCCTATTTACTGTAGACACGGAAATTTAGATGATATATAATTAATAAATAATTAAGAATGTATCAGTGAAAATAATTATTATTTAATAAAAATATTTATAAAATAATATTAAAATAACTAATTAGTATAATTAAAAAATTTTTAAAAAATAATTAAATTTTTTTAAATGAATTTAAAGTATATAATACACATACATCCATATGTATTACTTTGTGATATATATGTGATATATAAAGAAATTATATATATAGTGTATATATATCAATTGGTGGGCGAGGCGTGAAGGGTAGGGGCCCTGTGATCTCATCCCAGGTTAGACTATAAGGCAAAGTAGTACATAAGATCATGTCTAAATTAGAACAGTTGAATACTAACCTTGGATATGGATTTCCCCGCACAACTTTCTGTCCATACTTTCTCCAGCGAAATCCATCCCCGACATTATCGGAATCTGCCGTGTTATGGAGAACCGGCCGAGGTTCCGACAAGGCTCCCGGTAAATGGCTCCCGCATCTCCTGCGAAACAAACTTTTATGACAACCATAACTTACGGCAAGATGTCTTGTTATTATCAAACGGCGAAGTCACGAAGGATCATACGTTCTTTTGCAGCTTCTGAATTTGCTGTCCAAAGACTCGTTCGCCTCCTCAAATCCACCCCGAGAATCATTCGAAGTCGAGGACAAAGCTGGAGCAGAGCCGTCCTGCAGATTCACATGTGTAAGATTTCTTACAATATTTCGAGCCTCGTCGAATTCTTGTCTCGGCGCGTTTGTGAAGTAATCGACGAGCTGTGGCTTCGAGTGGTTGTGTTCACCGCTGTAGACAATCTCGGCAATCCGGCTGTCCAAGGTTTTCTCAACCTTCTTTTTCACCGGACAGTTCGGGTGCGCGCATTTGTAATAACTCCGAGGATTCTTGCTTCCTTTGACGTGTTTCTGCCCATATTTTCGCCAGCTGTGATTGTCCGAGGGATCTCCCGATTGCGGGAACATCGACGTTTTGCCATTGTCTTCGACGTCTGCATTTGATGCTTCAAATGGCAGCTGGAATGGTTCGGGATTATCGTGGGTCGATTGTTGGATGGAAGCGCCTGTAGGATCGATGATGTCTTGTCTCGAGCCTATACCTTGTCCTCCGCCCTAACAAGACAAGACAACAGAATGTAATGAATACGCATCATTAATTATTATATAGTCGACAACATTCCCTCGAGCACGAGATATTATATAGTCAACCAATACACCCCTAACTTGAAATGTAGATTTACGCCACATGTTATTTTGATACTAAATGACTATTTCATTTAAAAATTTAAATTTAAGATACGCATAATTAATTATTGTATAATTATCCTACAAATACAAACATCAATGCCTAGTTTATATAGGAGTTCTTTGAAGTTTATAACAACAATTTTTTTAAAAAAATAAAATGTTACATCAAATACTAAAACAACAAAAAAATGACAGTAGTTTTTAAAAATTGTGACAAATTCTTCATATCTTCAAAATTGGGTTAAACTTCTTTATGGTTCACAAACTCTGCGCCTAATCTCTGAGTCGTTCTTATTTAATCTTGTAACCTACAAGCCTAAATTGCGAATGAGTTTCAAAATCTTTATTTCTAAATATCTGAAATTACAAATATAATCTCGAAAAACAGTAAAAAAAAAAATTATTAGAACCGGAGGAAAATAATTATTTATACGTATATTTTATTGTTCCTTGGGCTAAAGAAGAATGAGTATATTTGTAATTTCAAAAGTTTAAAAATTGAAATTTCGAAACTCATTCGCAGTTTAGATATATATGTCAAACACAGTTAAATAAGGACGATCCAAAAATTAGACATAAAGTTTATACAACTGTGAAGGATCTGACACATTTTTGAAAATATGAGCAATTTTTTTGTATAATTTTGCCCAAATTTTTTTCCTAGTCTCGAATTTTTCCAAAAAGACTTCCAAAACCTCGCGGACCAAGTATAATATATGTATTTAGTCATTCCCAATCCAAGTTTAGAATTAAACATATTACAAACAGATGAATAATCCTTACATTGCAAACTTATCCTACAAAGCATTCTATGTGTGATTGTGATTCTACTGTAAGAAATTCACAAATATATAAATAAATAGATGATATGTAGCCCAATAACTTTAAATTTTTAGGTAAAATGACAATTTAATGAAGTTTTAAAATTATTAGTATAATATAAAAATAAAGGTAAAAAGACTAAATTAACTTATTAGTATTGTATGATATAAAAGTAATGATATTTGTGTAATATATTATAATTTGAAGAGTACTTGTAATATTACGTAGATAATACAATTAAATAAATGAATACTTTGACGGAGGGGAGGGGAGGGAGTATAATTGAATCCTATTCTCTAAGTCGAATTTTCATTGAAAACAAAGTACTAACCAAATTTGCCAAGAGGGAGACAGCCTTCCTCGAAACCACCTTGGCGATTGGTCTGTACACCACATTCGATCCGACAATGAACTCTTCAGACCGATGGTCCTGCCATTGATGAAAACAATAAGAGCTTTGCAAACATATATACCTCCAACAATAACAGAGCACAAATATATATATATATATATAGGTTTGGACCAAACCTTAGCCTCGACAACGTTGGACGATTCGACAGGCTTAACTAACCGCAGAGTCCTCGGCCTTATGACAGCAGCAGCTGAAGTTTCAGTTTCAGTTTCAGTCTGAGTCTCAGAAAATGGTGAATTAGTAATACTGTTTAGTTGATCTGGAGGTGGAGGAGGAGGCTGGAAGCGATTCGGACAGGATAGGGAAGGTCGACATGGTACAGGTCTGGCTATTACAGTCTTCGGAGTTTCCTTAAATTCCGCCATGGCTGGACCAGCGCAGCAGCTTCAGTTTCATGAAGCGTTTCTGATTTGGATATGCTTTATCGAATCAGACACAGTTTCGTGGCTGTAAATCAATGGCTGTCGATGGATCTCAGATCTGATCAACAGAATAATTACAGCACAGAAATTACAGACATAAGATTGCTCGGACAGTCTCAAAATTGGTTATTATTACAGCGAGCGATAGAGATGAAGCAGAGACTTACAACGAACGGTCTTCCTCCATAGCCGGAACTCGAGATTGTAAACTGACCAACGAACTCCTCCTTAACCATGGTTAGTTGTCAGACTAATCACGGTTAGAATGTTTCCTTGTCTTGAAAAGCTTGAAAAACCATAGAATTCATCGAAACAGAGGATTGGAAGCAATGAATTTGAAGGCAGAAGAGGTTGAGCTGAATTGAGAAATGCGACTGTAAGAACAAATTTTATCTTCTCAGCCTTATCAAAGTTTTTGCTTGTTTGGATGAGGTTACGGAAAAGTGCGTAATATTATGACCATTATTTTTTATTTTTAATAATAATGATAAATGAATAATTAAGGGTATGTTTCTTTTTGTTAGATTTGAAAAAATTTAAATTCGAATTTGATATTAAAATAATATATGATAAAATATTTTATGAGCTCATAGTCCAAATAATAGAAATTTAAATTTTGATAGTAAAAAAAATATACCCAAAATATCAAATTAAATTAAAAATATGTATTTTCAAAACAAATGAAAATAATAATAAAAAAAGATAATTGAATTCGAATTAAAAGAATATTTTTATTTAATGTTCCTCCAAGTATCAAACTTAAGTGATTATTCATTTTTTTATTTTTCACTAAAGTTTCTATTTGACTTTAGGATAAATAAATATTTTAAGTGTAATAAAGTAATATAATATTTATTTTATTTTTAACAGTAAAATAAAAGTAGCGTAGACAATAAAAGTAAAATAATTTGGTATTTAATTAAAAATAATACAGTAAAAAAAATTGTCATGAAATGATAGAATGAAAATTTTATTCATGGAGCGAGTATAATATATTTGGAATAAATAATAATTGGATTTGTTTGTTCAAAATTATTTTTTTTCAATATGGAGTATATATTTTATCTTATTTCAAAAGTCAACATTCAATATAAAATATTATATTTTATATTATCGATATAATTACCTATATTTCACAATCAATTTTTTTTTTCAATTAAAATACTAAACAAACAAGCACTACCTACAATTTAATTGTTTACTATAATTTTAATAAATAATACTCATTCTTACGTTTTAACTCAAAATATTTTATTTTATTATTTTTATATGTTTTATTCAAAAATATATTTTTTTTTTATTTTAATAAAAATAATCGTATACTAATATCAAAATAATTTTAATTTAAACATAAAGTCAAATAACAAAAATATTAAAAAAGTTTTATACACTTGTACTAATCAATAAAATACTACTCCCTCCATCCACTTACAATTTACATATTTATATTTTGAGAAGTCCAATTACAAAGTTAACATTTCATTAAATATCCTATTTTTTTCCCACAAATACCCTTACTTTACATCACATCTGTTACGTACGAAATTTAGAATTAGGTTAAAAGCCCAAGGTAAAAAGAAGAATGGGCCTGACAATAGGGTTGATTGAACTGGCTGAAGGACACCGTGAGGAAATCAAGGAAAATAAATTTATTTATTTATTTCTAAGGAAAATACAGGACGGAAGGACCTCAGGTCGGTAGGTCCTCAGGACGGAAAGACCTCAGGTCGGAAGGTTTTCAGGTCGGGAGGTCCGCCAGACGGGAAGACCTCAAGTCGGAAGGTCTTCAGGTCGGGAGGCCCTCAAGATGAAAGACCTCAAGTCGGAAGGTCTTCAGGTCGGGAGGTCCGCAAGACGGAAAGACCTCAAGTCGGAAGGTCTTCAGGTCGGGAGGTCCGCAAGACGGAAAGACCTCAAGTCGGAAGGTTTTCAAGTCGGGAGATCCTCGAGACAGAAAGTCGTTGAGATGGGATATCCGCAGGTCGGGTAAACTGTAGGTCGGATAGAAGGAGGAGTCGGACAAACACGGAGGCCTTTGATCAAATATAGGGGGCGGTTGATATGGAGGTCGGCCCAAGTGGGGTCGGGCGAAGAAGTAGGTCGGACGAAGGACGAAGTCGGGCCAAAAGAGCGGAAGGTCTGTAGTTGGCTCAAGGAGTGAAATATAGGGATTTTTGGTCTGCTGGGGACACGTGTCAGCATAAGAAAGGTTGGAAGACGGTTGAGAAGGAGACGTTGTAACCGTTCGGGTGACGGTTTTCAGTACGGTTTCCCAGGGAATATTTAAGGATTTGGATCATCATTTGGCAAGGCATCTTCAATCAACTTCAACAAAGCAAAGTCAGATTTGGGGATCACCACTTTAAATTTCAGTATTTTATTTTCCAGTTTAGTTTCTGTACGTTACAGTGTTTAGAGATTCCTAATCTCAGGCACTAATTAATCAAGTTTAAGGATATTTTCTATGTCTTTGAATTTTACTTTATTTTTGTTGAAAAAATACATCAACAAATTGGCGACCACAGTGGGAGCAAGACAAAATTGCTCATTCCAATTCCGGCGATAATTTCATACGTCTTAGATCCGGCCGAATCATCGGAAGGGTCCATATGGCAGGGTCACAACCGCAAGCATCTTCGACACCGGTGGGAGAATCCGTTCCACCACCCATTGTGCCAAATGCCGGGGAAATCCCACAACCACCAACTGATTGGTGGTCTTATGTTCAACAAATGAACAACCAGCATACCTTGGTTATGCAGAATATGTTGCGTGAGCAACAAACGAACATGTTGCGTGAGCAACAGAGTCAGTTGCAGAACATGATAGATCAAGCATTGTCAAGGGTTAGTCTTCAACCCACTCAAACGCCACCAGGAGTGTCACCGTCCGGACCACAGGCAAATTTCGCAGGGCCATCATTCGTGGATAGTACATTCCCAAGTGCCACAAATCCCAACCGAATGGATCGGGGAAAAACTCCTTTGACTTTTCCCAACAATGTTCCACTGGGACCAAGGGTTACCAATTCGCAACCGAACAATACACGGGAGGACAGGCCTGAAGGATATATACATGATCCGATTCATATTCCTGTGCAGGACCCGTTCCAGGTTCCTGATCATCAACGCTTTCATGTAGATCCTGATGAGATTGCACATATATTAAGGGATCAGTATGGATTAACTCCTCAGATGGCTAACCGCCCTGCATATCAAAGACCTTTCCCAGAAAGGATCATTCATGAACACCCTCTCCCAAGGAATTTTCGACCACCCGACTTTCATGCATTCTCAGGGGAGGACGGATCTTCCACCATAGAACATGTTGGTCGGTTCACAGCACAATTAGGAGAAGTTGGCAATAACCCTTTTTATAAGTTACAGCTGTTTGGTTTGTCCCTTACCAGAACGGCGTTTTCATGGTTTGTAAGCCTACCTCCTGGACAAATTCAGACATGGGAAGGACTGGAGATGGCATTTCACGCTAGATTCTTCAATCCTTTACCAGTTGTGTCTTTAACTGATTTACTTGAATTGAGACAGTATCCAGAAGAAACTGCTTCACAGTTTATAGAAAGGGTACGATTGATGAAGGGACGATGTCCTACGGTAATCAGTGAGAAAGAGATGACCAATTTAGTGGTCCGGAATATGCATAATCGTTTAAGAAAGGCACTCACTGCCCTGGATGTTGAGGATTTGGCAAGTCTTGCATCCAAGGCAGGACGTCTAGAGTCTTTGTTCAGAGAGGAAGATCAGCATAACAGGCGTAATAGAGGCCAACATATGGCGAGTATGGGAACAGAAACATGCGACTTTGATTTTAATCAGTCAGAAGAGATGGCAGCCGAAATCCTTTCTGGAAAACCGTATGTATGTCCTAAATTGAAGCCAATACCAGGATCTGAAGGAAAGGAGCAGCCGACCTTTGATAGTTCGAAAGCTGATGAAATCTTTGATATTCTACTGACTGACGGGCAGATCCGTATTCCAAAGGGCCAAAGACTTGCCACTAAAGAAGAAATCAAAGGGAGACCATATTGTAAGTGGCATAATTCTTTCACACACACTACAAGTCAGTGTACTCATTTTAGGAAGGAAATTCAAAAGGCCATCAAGACAGGTCGGCTCAAATACATCACTTTAGGTGTAGACCAGCAACCATTTCCGAAAGTAACAACGGCAATGGTTGACATCCAACCAAGTTCGGAAACAGGGAAAAGTTCGGTCAATAGTGGACAAACAGGGGAGCAAACTCAGGCAAGTCCCAGAAAAAAGAAAGGGAATCAGCCAAACAGCAGCCGAACGGAAGAACGACTCAAAGTTGTTGAAAGGCCAGTCGCTGAAAAGTGGGACCATCCAGATGGTTCTTTTAATGTGGAGGTGAAAGAAAAGGTTTTGATACGTGATCACCCGACCAGAAAAACAGGGTCGGTCGGGAGCAATTGGGCACGAAATAAAAAGCCTTTACCAGTCGATATAGACCCTCGTTTCCCGGGTATGAATCGTACACAGATTCGCAATGCCAAACGCAGGTATGCTGCAAAGTATGGGAAAAGAGGTCCTTCAGCAGAACAACTAACCGACGAACAAAAAGCAGCCGACCACTTGGCAGGAGGTCAGTCCATTCGGATCTTTACAGAACAAACGACCAAAGAGCAGGGAATAACCATTCAGTCTCCAGTTGGTCGGTCCAGTCGGGTCTGGTCAGGAAAGCAACCGAATGACGGATTAGGCGCTTCCGACCATACCAAAAGAAGTTCGTCGGGACTGGGGAAAGGTAAAGGTGTGGCAGATGAAATAATTAAAGGTTTTAGATGCCAACATTGTGAACGAATCAACATCAATCCATCTTTTGAAGACTTCCGTATAGAATCTTTGACGCTTCAACCTCAGAACAAGACGAAGGAAGAAGTTATAACTACAGAGGAAAGTTTAAGGTCTGTTAAATCTCGTCTGGGACCACGAATCCCTTGTCGAATGACAGAGATTAATCAGATGAGTGATGAACCGACGTGGGCGAGTCTGGTAGATGAAACTATGGACGAACCTTTATGGGCTTTCTTGGCAGATGGTGAATTAGAGGAGACGGAGGGAGCAAAGACTTCAGATTCTGAGCCTCAACCGGAGCCACCTTCGATTGTGTTTCCTCCTATTCCAGAGGGTGCGATCTCCCATTTGAAGCCTCTGTATGTTAATGCTCATATTTGTGGGAAACCAATCACAAAGGTTTTCGTGGATAATGGAGCAGTTTTTAATGTTATGCCATTGAAGACTCTCAAGAAGTTAGGAAAAGGAATACATGATCTATCTCCTGTGGAATTCGAAATGACAAGTTTTACAGGGCAACCGACCAAGCCGGAAGGCATGATGGTTGCCACAATCGAGGTCGGACCAAAGAAGATCTCTACTGTTTTCTTTATTGTGGA